ACCGATCGAATGTAATGTTGCTGAAACCAAAAAAAAAAAAAACTTGAGTTGTCACAATCGATATTGACAGAATTTTATTTTTTTTTTTTGTGCTATTTTTTTTTTTTTTTGCCGGTAATGGAAATCTCAATTTAATATAATTCACTTGAATTGGTAAGATTCTTGGAACAAGCTAATAATATCCTATTATTTTGGATTGTTGTTCGTATCATCAGTACCTAGAACTGGACTATAAAGGCACGTACACATATTGATACATCATATATCAGAATAAATTTTTGTGTGTATATCAAAAAAAAAAACCCCGGTGCCCTCTGTTGATACAGAATCGTGTATCTGATACCAATATTTGGTATCCATACACATGTTTATTCTTTTTTCACAAAAAATAATAACGAACAAAACGTAAACATTATTTGTGACATTCATAGTCAAATGAATAGAAAAAAAATGAAATGAAATGAAACGAAAACGAAGGTTCAGATTCACATTTTTCTTGTTTGTTTGTTTGTCTATCCATCTATCCATCCATTTATTTGTATATCTGTTTGTTTGTTACACAACATCATCAAAGATCAACTATGATATTTATACTGATCAACAACATCATCATCCTATAGGATTGGGCAAAAAAAAAAATATAGCACCAACACCACCACCACCACCACCACCACACACAAATGGAATTTTTTTATTTTGCTGACTTTTTGTCGACTATAACTATAAAAAAAAAATTTTCATACAACAACAATGGTTTCGTAGATTTTCTACGTTGGATCATCAACATATATACCGAGTTGCTCCAAGAAGAAAAAGTGAACGAAAAAAATTCCTAGTTGTATGCGTGTGCATTTCATTTTATTTTTTTATATATTCTTGGTACATATTTTTTTTCTCTATTCTTGATTCTGTTGGTAAATTGTTTTTTTTTCTCTTGCCACACACACAAGATTCACATGTGCGTGTGTGTATATATATTATATATGGCCGAAAAAAAAGACGTCGTAAAATGAATGTGAATGGTGTATGTTTTTTTTTTTTTTGTTATTGTTTTTTTCCCATAGATTTCCCGGTTGACGGTGTGTAATATTTATGTGTGTGTGTGTAAAGATGACGACAACAAAACGCATATACATGTGTATCATGTGTGTGTGTCGTATACACATATTTACAGTATTTACGTTCGTTAGTCCAGATATAAATTCATGAAACATCGAAAAAAAGGAAAAAAAATCCATAACAATTACAAAAACAAACGACGACGACGACAACAAACATCAAACATCAAACATCAAAAACATCATCATCATCCACATAAAGTAACAAGAATATGAATCTTGATTGTTGATGTTTATATGTCAACCAACCAAACAAAAAAATCTTTATTTTAGCATCGTATGTGAAGCCGGAAATTTAAATTTGAAATGGCCAAAATTTAGTTTAATACTCAGTGTTTTTAAAACATCGTTTCACCACCACCACGCCCACCATTGACAACTGATGTTTTTTAAGTGCATGCCGCCAAAATATTACAACAACAACAATAACTGTGAGACACAGACATGGAAAAACCTGTGTCATGTGTGTATGTGTGTGTGTGTGTATGTTTTGAAACAAATTATGCAAATTAGAATGAAAATGAAAATGAAATGAAATGAAATGAATAAATTAATTAGAATGTGTTGAGGAAGAAAACATAAACTCGTGTTTTATCTGCTTTTGTGATTCATTTTTTATTTCTCAATTCTACTTTTGTTTCATTTTTCAATTTTTTGCCGGTCGTTTAAAATTTAATAATGCCGAATATTCTCGATGTGTGAATGAGTGAATAATATATTTGAATTTGTGCCCGAAAGAATCATCGGTAATAATAATCATAATTTATGAATCAATTCCATCATTTTCATTTCTAGTGATATTTTTTTTTTTTCTCTCACTATCTCTCTGCCTCTAAATAATGATGATGATATGAATTCTGATTCTTAATAATAAAGTGCCTGTCAACTATATATTATTCATATATTTTGTGTATGTGTGTGTCTTCATCGTCTTCACATTATTTGACAACGAATTTATTTCTTATTCGGTGTGTATGTATATGTGTGTGTTGGACAAGAATATTCTTAGAACTCGTAGAATAATCTAGTTATATGTTGAAAGCCAATGATTATTATATTATATTATTTTGTATAATGATAATTTATTCACATTCTGGCAGCTAGCCAATTTTTTTTTTTTGTTTTGTTTTGTTTTGGTTTTACTTTTACTGTTGATTTAATTATGATTTGTATCACAATGTGATAATAATAATTGTAATTTTTAATTGTGTTATTATACAATACAATTTCCATTATTATTCAACAATTCAATTTTCGGTTAAAATCTCTTTTTTTTTTTTTTTTTTTTTTGATCATTCTTTTTCTCACTTAATCCATCACATTTAAGTAGACAGAAAACAAAATTGTTATGCACTTTGACAATTTGACTTTCCACTACATTCTATCTTTCTGTTTAACATTTGAACATCATCATTCATTCATTCATTCATTCATTTAGATTTGTAGATTAGATAGAAACAAAATTTATACATGCATGTACAAAAAAAATGAGATTTCCTATTCATATCCGGTCCATATTCCAATGATGACAATGGAAAAACCTCTTAACAATACAAGTATTCTGTATGTGTATTCTCCGGATATGGATCATCCTCTTATAATGATGGAACAACAAATAATAATCGTGGAGGAAAAATGAAAACTTTTTGTCGTTTTCTACTGTCAACATACACACACACACACACACACACACACACACATAAACATTGCAGATATATTATCGTCATCAAAATAAGATTTTTTTTTTTCGTTTGTTTGTTTCCAAAATGAAAACCAAAAACAAAATTTCCTATAGTTGTGTAATCAACTACTACTATTACTACTGCCACTACTACTACTGCTACTACTTTATTCCAAACATCAAATATTCAGATTTTCTTTCTTTTTTTTATTTGAATTGTGACAAAAATAACACCTGAAAAAATGAATGAGAAAAAAAACGTTGTCTGATCCACAAATATACTTTCCACTGGTAGTCATAAACACACACACACACACACAAAAAAAACAGAAAAAAAACATTACCACTAAATGAATGAACCAGTTAATTAATAATAACAGTATTCTGATGAATGTTGTGGTAATTATAAGTTGTCAACAAACAAAAAAAAAAAGTTTCTCAGAACAAAAAACAAAATAACAAAGACAGCAACACCGAGCCGGAAAACAAAAAACAGAATTTTATAATGAAAAAAAAAAGAAAAGAATTTTTCATTGAATTATCAATGATATAATATTCTGATTTTTTTTTTTCTCTCTCTCTTTTTGTTTTATTTGTACAGAATTTTTGTTGCTGCTGCTGCGGCTGACAATGATGATGGTTCCAATTCTGTGAAAGAATCAAAGAAACAATGCATTCAACAAAAAGCGACGATGATGATGTTTTGATCATTATGAATCTTTCTTTATCGAATAATGGAAAAAAAATGATTGGATGAAACGATAAACCAACACAACGAAACAAAACAAAACAAAAAAAACCTATTGGTCAATAATGAATGATTTAACTTTTAAGGCAAAATTTTGGCCTTTACGACCATCACTATCATTATCATCAACAATAACAACAACAAAAACAATAAATAATATAGAGAAACACAACGTGATATCCAGCATATACAAAAGTGCAGAATATTCTGTGCAATGTATTATTATTATACGAAAATTCTATAGAAAAAATTTTGTCTGTTGTGATGGTAACCAATAACAACAACAACAACAAAAAAACCACCGATGATAATAATAATAAAAATGTGAAAAGAATCAAACAGAAAAAAAAGCACAAAAGCAACAATAGAATATATACAGTAGAATAATAGAATGATGATGAATGATGTCGATATAATCGATCAACAGAATGTCGTCGTCATCGTCATCATCATCATCATCATCAACGACAACAACAACAACAACAACAAATGAACAATTTACGATTGCGGTCGCTGCAACAACAGTCGCGACGACAACGTCGTCTTTGTTGTCATCATCATCACAATCATCATTTTCTGCATCAACAGTTATAGCAGCAATAACTACAGCAACTATAATAAACGCAACCACTATAACAGACGCAATGACAACAACGACAACAATAAAAACATTGACAAAATCAAGTGATAATAATAATTGTGATAATGGTGGAGCTAATAAAATAGGCGGAGGAGATGAAGGAAGAGGAAAAGGTAACGAAATCAATGAAGAAGATAAAAGAATAAAATTAAATATTGAGAAAGAAATAGACGAAGGTTGTGGTTATTATATTGTGGATGACCAATCCAAATCAATCATTACAACATCAACAACAATGACAATGAAAAATTCACTAATAACAACAACCACAGCGACAGCTACAACGGTAATGTCAACACCCACAATCATATCATCACAACCATCTAGAACAACATTAATAACAAAAATGACAACAACGACCACTAATAATAATAATAATCAAATCTTCAATTCAAATAATAATAATAATAACATAACTGTAACACAGGCAGAGGTTGCAGCTGTTGCTGCTTCTACTGATTATTATGATGATGATTCAGATCATAATGATGAAGATGAAATTGGTGATACTAATAGAAAAAATAAAAGTGGTGGTAGTCGTTGTGGTGGCAGTGGTGGTGGTGGTGGTGGTGGTGTTGATATTGGAACAACAACAATAATAGCAACATCGGCACCACCAATACCGCAAGCACCGTGTTTTATATTTGATTATGATCCACCTAGTTCACCATCATTACCATCATCATCATTGTTGGAACTACATGATTATAATCATCAGCAACAACAACAACAACAACAACAGCAAAGTTCAATCGATTTATTTTGTTCTAAAGAATCGATCCAACATCAACAACATTATCATCATTATAATAATCAAGAAGAAACAGACAATCATTATCATCATCATGATAATCGTCAGCAACAACAACAACAACAATATTCCTTGGAAAATAGTGTATTTATTGTAACAAGCGATGATATTAATAACCGACCAAAAAATGATAAAAAAGATGAATCCGAATCGATTATGTTTCAGCGACAACAACAACAACAACAACAACATCATCCACATTATTATCATCATCAACCGCAAACAAACTTGGGTACAAATAAAAAAAATATTCTTATCACACATAGTAATAATGCTATTAATCAGCCAACAACAACAACGCCTTCATCAACATTGGTATTTGGTCGAATGCATTCGGAACCGGAACGTACTGCTGTACCATTGATAGAATTAATATCATCACCATCATCATTATCAACTGCGGCTGTTTTTGCTAATGTTCCAAATATTGGTGGTGGTGGTGGCGGTGGTAGTAATTCAATTGAATGTTCATCACCTCCTCCATCCGCATCATCAACATCGGCTGCACAACAACAACAACAACATCATCATTTACAACCAGAACCGTCATCTATCGAATTACAACCATTGAATAATCATCTTCATAATCATCGTTCTTGTCCAGACATTTTACCGGATCGTATGTCATTGATGATGATGGCAACGACAAATTTTGATTCCAGTTTAAATAGTAATAATTCAAGTTTGATTCGTCGTGATTCAAGCATTACTAGTAGTAATCGTGGTTCATTCTCCCGAACAAATACGTTAATCTCAACATCGACGGTCGGAGGACATCGATGTTCTATTAGTGGTGGTCCTACTTCTGCTGGTATTACTGGCGGTGGTGGTGGTGGTGGTTCTGGTACAGTTGGAAATTCTGGTTCTTGTAGTGGTGCTGGTGGATACGTTTACCGGGTCAGCCCTCGTGTCAAGCGCCATCTGTGGCCATCGCATGCGCGTTCATTGTTGAGTTCCCGTTTGGAACATAGTTTTCTTACCCGTACAGTATCCCGAGAGTCGATGCGATTATCCACGCACGCTCTTAATATCAATCCAAATAATAATAATAATAATAATAATAACAACAACAACAACAGCAGCAGCAGCAGTAATAACAATAATAATAATAACAATAGTAGTAGTTGCAATGAGATACAACCTCTGATGGCTTCGATTTGTCACTCGGGTACATCATCTAACTACCTGAGCTCATGTCCTCTGTCATCACAACAAGGCCCATATGCACCAAGTTCGCATCTAGTGTACAGTCCAACAACAACAACATTATTTCGGTCGCAGAATTGTGCGCCAAACTGTTTATATCATCAACAACATTATCATCATCATCATCTTCATAATCATCATCATCATCATCAGAATAATCCATTTAATCATCATCATAGTATTACAAGTCAATATTCAGGACATCATCGTTCATCAGTACTGGATAATGAAATTGCTGAAATTGCAGCCGATTCATTACGAATCAATGGTGCACTTCGTCAATTTAGACAGTTAAGAAATGCATCAACATTATCGATGCCAGCTGAAAATAAGGGGGCATATATAGCCACAAATTCATTAGATGTAACAGCCGATGCAAGTACACCTCTAATGAATGCAGCCACTGATCATCGATCACCACAACCATTTAATTCACAACGTTCATTTGCCTCTAATTCATTAGATAGTGATAAAAAAAAATCATCAACAAATAAAAGTGGCTTCCATAAGCCCAATGTGGGCTATCGTTTAGGACGCCGTAAGGCCCTATTCGAAAAACGTAAAAGAATCAGCGATTATTCATTATTAATGGCCTTATTGGGTATATTATTGATGGTTTTTGAAAATGAATTATCATTACCACACATCTATGAAAAGGTATGTAATCATTTTGTTTTGAATGAAAATGAATTTCTCATCATCATCATCATCATGATCAATTGATTTCTATCTTTTTTTTATTATGTTTTTTGTTTCGTTTTATTATTCTCTTTTTATTCTTGTCACATTAATATTCATTTATTCTATTCATATTCTTGAAATTATTATTATTATAAATAATAATTGTTTCCAATGTTGTTGCAAATTGTTCATTTATTGAATATATACATGGTACTTCTGCCGCTGCTGCTGCTGTGAATTTTGAAACAATTTATTATCAGTTTATTTATTCTGTACACACACACACACACACACAGGCACACACCAATAGAGATTACTATGCCGACGCCTGATGAGCTATTCATCATGTATAACACCTGTATAATTGTGTGTGTGTGTTTTTTTTTGTATTCAGCACCACCACCAATATTGGTAGCCGAATGACAAAAAAACCAATGTTTTAATCAAGTTTTTTTGTTGTTGTTCATGCCAATTTTTTTTTCTTGATGGCCTGGTGTGATTTAATGGAATATAAATAAAATTATATGGTGTTTCAATTGAATTTTTTTTTGTTTTTTGGTTTCGTAAAAAAAAATAAAATAAAACGACTAGAAACGCCCATCATTTCATAGCTTTTGTTGTTGTTGTTTTTATATGAAGCTTCGATTCGTTTTTTTTTTTTTCCAGATTAAGGTTAAATTTTCGTTTCAATGGCAGAATTTTGTGGAATTTTTTTTTTTTTGCTTTTGATATTTCCCACAATCACCATAGAGACACAGTATGAATTATCATACACACACACACACACACACACAGAACATTATTTGTTGTTAGTGTGTTCCAAATCAAGTTTTTTTTTTTTTTTTTGATTAATTGTAAATATATGTGATTATAATTAATGTAAATATTCATATAATAATGGTAGTAGTAGTAGTGAATGAATGATCATTACGAACAGGTAAAAAAAATGATAAACGAGTTTACTGATTGAAATGAATGAAAATTTTCATTTTATCAAAATGATCATTTTCCACTACAATTACTGCTGAAAAATTTTCTTTATTGGTTATCACTAACCAAACACATGCATGCACACACACACACTCGGCGATCATTTTACCTGCAATAACCGAGTGTTTTTTTTGAAAATGATCATTTTATCCGAAAATTTAGAAATGAGAATCGTCTCTTTTTCCCAGTATAATTAGTCTTTCGATAATCATCATCATCGTCATGATTATTTTTGCAATGGAATTGGTTTTTTTTCTATTTTGTTTATTTTGTTCAATGCCAGTTATTGGTGTCTTGTTTCATTTCATTCATTCATTGAATATTTGTGCACCGCCAACAACAATGTTTGTTTGGTTCGTTGAACATTTAATCGTATCATTCTTCTTCTTCTTTTTTTTTGCTCGGCTGTCAAATTTGTACACTACAAATGTCCAGAATTACCATGTTTGTGTGTGTGTGTGTGTGTGTGTGTGAATGGATATTTAGAATCCAAAGAATTCAAGTGTTGATAACTGGATATAATCGAGTGTGTTTAATGTGAGAACATTGAAAGAGAAAAAGAGAGAGAGAGAGAAAATGCATAATATATTTGGAAACGAATAGAAAATGAATCGTTTTTTTTAAATGTCAAAAATGACTGAATTAAAGTGAGAAGAATAATGATGATGATTCATTCATTCATTATTCTTATGGTAACAATAAAAAAAAATCTCTGTTTGTATGACGGATGTTCTTGAAAATGAGAATAAATGATGATGATGATGATGATGAAAAAGTTGTTAAATATTTACGAAAATGGAGTATTCGAAAAAAAATCGCTGTTGTTCATTGTAATCACACTAACAACGCAATAATTGTTTCCTTGCATACACACACACACATCCATATACCACCGCACACACACACAGAATAACAATAAAACTGGCAGCCAGAATTCTTGAACATGGCACCGAAATTCTTTTTTTTTTTTTTGGCCAATTGAAATGAAACAAAACAAAACAAAACAAAACAGAAAAAAAATAACAATCATTTTTGAACGATATTTGAGAAGAAAAACGATATCCAGAATGCTAATTCTCTCTAGTATGATGATTCTGGTGAGTGGAGAATAATAATTTATTTTCTCCAAAATAACATACCAAAATCTTGCCAAGAAACAAAACAAAAAAATTTCGATTCTCATTCTTCTGATTCTTAGTGATTCGGTGATTCTTTTCAACTCTTTAGAAACCATACATACACACACACACACACACAAAGCAATGGACATTTATTGTTGAAAACTTTTGATTCCGAAAAAAAAATTTATTTCGAAACAAACCATCGTGTGTGTGTGTGTGTGTATGTGTGCAAAAGACTTTTATTCTTTTAAGAATTGCACAATTGATTTTCGAAAAAAAAACTTTTTTTTATTTCTGCTAAAGTTTGCAGAAATGCAAAATTGAAACCAAAGATCTTTGTGATTGGTGTATCGAAAATTTTTTGTCCCAATGATGAATCCAATCATCAAATGATTGGAAATGGCATCAATGAAAGAAAGAGAAAAAAGAGAAAAAATCAATTTGGATCGTAATCATATGTATTCATCTATTGTGTCTGTGTGTGTGTGTGTGTATGTGTTTCATTTCAATTTCATTGTCAAATGAAATAGAAAAAAAAAACACACAGACAATAGTAAATGTATATGTATGGATGAATGAATTGATGATATGTTGATGGTGGTGGTGGTGGTGGTGATACCATCATCATTGTTGTCGATCATTATTGATTCTCATCGATCGATTGCAGATTCTATTGTTCATTTGTATGTAATGGCAATGAGATTATGGCCAGAATTTTTAAAAAAAAATTGATTCTGTTATTTTAATTTATAATTTGTTTCTTTTCTTTTTCTTTTTTTTTCATTCGGTGGAAATTTTCCGGAAAAAATGAAACAAAAAAAAAAATTTGAAATTCAAATTGACCCGTAGGATTCCGTCTACTCATATGCAGTCAAGACGTTAATAACTGTTTCGACATTAATTTTATTAGGACTGATACTTGCCTATCATTCGTTAGAAGTACAGGTATGTCTTGTTTTTATTTTTTTTTTTTATTTTTCATTCTTCATAAAACATCAATGATGACCATCAATTTTTCATATTTTTTTATAGCTATTTATGATTGATAATTGTCTGGAAGATTGGCGAATAGCAATGACATCACAACGTATTGCATTAATTTGTTTAGAATTATTCATATGTTCTATACATCCAATTCCGGGTAAATATGAATTTGATTGGACAACAAAACTTGTTAATCATGGTGGACGTTTTGAGACCAGATCGGTTCGGGTAAGTGGAGTTTTTTTTTTTTTTTTGCTTTCGATTATTCAATATTATTTAATTATGAATTTTTTTATTCATCAAAGGTGCCTGTCGATGTCATATTATCGTTGCCTATGTTTTTACGCCTTTATCTTATATGTCGTGTAATGTTATTACATAGTAAATTATTCACCGATGCCTCATCACGTAGTATTGGAGCATTGAATCGTATTAATTTTAATACACGTTTTGTATTGAAAACATTGATGACCATTTGTCCTGGTACCTGTTTAATGGTTGTATTGGTATCATTATGGATTATTGGATCATGGACAATGCGTTTATGTGAAAGGTATGTGTTTGTGTGTGTGTGTGATCCATAAAATTTGATTTTTTGATATTTCTGGTTTTGATAAATTCAATTTGTGTATGATTGTCGTCTAATTTTTTCCTCAAAGTAATCATAATAATGATGATTGACACTTTGATGTGAATGTGTGTGACAATCACATTAAGAATTCACATAGAAAAAGCCAAAAACGGGATAGAATGAATTGCATTAACCGGGAAAAGAGAAAAGAGGGACCAAATTCATAAAATCATTTTTCATTGACTTGATGAAACGATTTTTTTTCCATATTCCATAATTCTTAAATGTGTTTTGTTTGTATGTATGCTGTAGTAGTAAATCTTTTTTTTTGTTTTCCATGTTGACAAAAACAAAAACAACAATATAAAATGAAATAGATGGTGGCCACACACACACAGAATGATATTGTGCAAAATGATAAAAATAGAAATTATGATTCTGCTCTTTTTTTATGGTGATCCAGAATCCCATGACAAAGAATAAAAAAAAAACATTTTATTATAATATAACCATTGAAACGAAAAAAAACCAACCAAAGATCTACCATAATTTTAAATGTATTGTCAAATTTTCCAAATCCAATGACGTATGCTGATTTGATCCAGAAACAAACATTGTTGTTGTTGTTCATGGTGGTGGTGGTGGTGGTGATAATTATTTTAGATATATGTAATCATCATCATTAACGTGAAGAATGAAGAATGTGGCCAAAACAAAACAAAAAAAAAAATTCTTGATCCTTTTTATATATAATCAATTATAATGATTATGATTATGATTATGATGATTCATTGGAACAATTATTATTCCACTATAGTCATAAATGTTATTTCAAGTGATTCTGTATTACAGAATTTATATATATAAATTAATGTCAAAGTAATTAAGCGGCAACAAAAAAAAAATTACAATTTCGTGATATTCGTCTATTGTTTTTTTTTTCATATTGAAACCACATATCAAATGGCCACTGGTAGATGACAACATTTTGAAATACTAGTAGTAACTCTTCTAATTTACGCCATCATTCATTCAGTGATTACAAATGTCATCATTCCATTTATTTTGTTATGAAAGAAAAAATAAAATAAATTCTTTTCTCTTGTCCGTTTCATATAATAATAGCTTTGAAAATTATACTATAAATATGGTGTGATGATGACTAGAGATATATCAAAAAAAAAAAAAAAAAAACGCGATTCTCTATTCTTATGGGTCATTTTGACTATTTTCTTTTTCTTGGTTTCATATATGGTGGTCATTATCTTTTTTTTTTCGTTTTCCCATTATTGTAATATTTTAGCCAGAATTCTCACCATGTATAAATAATAAATATAGATCTCATTTTTTTTTATTGTTGGATCGCCATCGTCGTCGTCGTCATCAATTTCAAAAATGGCCATATTTGCACAAACACCATCATCATCATCACCGAATGATAATGATTATTAGATTTTTTCATTTCATTTCATTCATCACATTAAGGTTTTGCGCACATTTCATTTCATTTCATATTTAAAATGACAAACTACGTGAATGGCGGGATGGGGGGGAAAAGTTGGCTTTTTGACATTTTTAGCCTTTTTTTCTAGTTTTCTTACACTTTGAAAAGAATTTGGATTCTATTTATTTATTTATTCTGTTGCTACGCAAATTTCGATTGATGATGATTCTATTATTATCACCATAAATCACTATCCAGATATTGTGATTCGATTACATGGTCTTTTCATTAGTTGACCAACCAAACAAAAAAAAAAAAAAATCTTAATAGTTTTTTTCTCGCTCTTGTGAAAAATGAGATGGATTTTCTTTCTCTTTTTTTGACGTCCAACACACACACACACTGACATCATCAGTATGAAGATATCTAGATAGAATCGGTGAAGAATAAAAAAAAACTTCCCTTTTAATGTTCAAATTTTGTGTTTTCTGTTTTCTGGTTGACGCCTGTTCCTGAAACAACAACATTATTAATGATAAAATGATCATTCACATCTTGTCTTTTTTTTTACTAGGGCTAACTGGTGTGTATTTACAGTGTGTGTGTGTGTGTGTGGTTACACACACACACGATAATCAAATTGAATAATGATCAATCCAATTCAATATCAAACATCTATATATTGTGTAGATTTTCCTGATATATATATACAAGGACAACAATGACAATGATAAATAGATTTTATTATCTTTGTTCACAGGGTCAGTGTTGTTGTCACCCACCAGGGTCCATTGACTTTCATTGTATTTCAATCACATTAAATCTAATTTTTTTGTTTTAATTAATGAAGAATCATTAAATGAATTCATGTGTCTTGTTTGATAACAATGAATGGACAGAAACTTTTTTTTTGTTTCAGAATTTGATTTTTTTTTTTTTTTCGTTTTCGTTTTTGTTCACTAATCAATACAGACATCACGATGAAGAACATGCCAATCTATTGAATACAATGTGGCTTACAGCGATCACATTTCTTTCAATTGGTTATGGTGATATTGTGCCTAATACGTAAGTATTTTACTTGTATATATAACACAAATAACACAATAATATATTGATTGATTGATTGAATTGATTCCAGGTACTGTGGCCGTGGAATTGCCGTCTTTTCCGGTCTTATGGTATGTATTTTTTTTTCCACATTTTTTTTCCTTGGATTCTTGTTTTTTTTTGTTCCACTGAAATGACTCACGTTCCACATATGTGGAAGAAACAAAAAAATACGAATGAAATCTCAAAGTATAAATTATTATGCTCCTAATGACTCATTAGTAAGTGTAGAGATCATCATCATCATCATCGTCATAAGCATCGAAGAAAGTGAATTTGTGTCTGTGTTCGTGTGGACTTAGTGTAGTTTTTTTTTGCTTCTTATTTTTGTGTGTGATATGTGTGTAAAGTTCATAATATTGTTTTGTTGCCAACGTAATAGTTGTTATTATTATTATTATTGTAACTTAATTAATTGGAATTAGTGTTTCTTCTTCTGGTAAAAATGGATCAAAAAATAGAAAACTTTCACCATAATCACTGTTTGTGTGTGTGTGTGTGTGTGTTTTCGTATTGATTTTCATTTCAATTTATTTATTTTTTTCCCATCATCATCATTATCATCATCTATTTTCGATTTTCTTCATTATTCTGATTCTGATTCTTATTCCGTTTGATTACCATTATTACACACATACACACACACATAGGGTGCTGGCTGTACAGCATTAGTTGTGGCTGTTATTGCAAGAAAATTAGAATTAACTAGAGCCGAAAAACATGTACACAATTTTATGATGGATACACAGCTTACAAAAAGGGTAAGTAGTGAAGAACATAGTTGAAAACATTCATTTCTCATTTGTTTTGTTTTTTGTTTTGTTTATAGCTAAAAAATGCAGCTGCAAATGTATTACGTGAAACATGGTTAATATATAAAAATACAAAATTAACAAAAAAAGTCAATACATCCAGGGTTCGAACACATCAAAGAAAATTTTTACTTGCAATCTATAGGTAAAAAAATAAAATTTCTATATTTGTTGATTATTTAATATTTTTGTGTATTATATATATATATTACGATTATTATTTAGTTTACGTAAAGTAAAAATGGATCAAAGAAAATTAATGGACAATGCCAATACAATCACTGATATGGCCAAGGTAATTTTTTTTTTTTGCAATTTAGTGTTAATAAAATTGATTGATTGATTTTTATTTTCATTTTTTCCCAAAAAACCAGCTACAAAACAATGTTTATGAAATTGTTTCAGATATCAACGCTAGACAAACATTAATCGATGCAAAAGTTCTTACACTTGAAGAACGTTTATTAATTATTTATGAACAAATTGAACAATTACCTGAAATGATCAAAAAAACATTATTATCAAATCAACATCAACGTAGTTCACTGCCAACATTAGTTGAAAATTTAACCATTAATGGACAGAATATTACCGTTCCAAATAATAATAATAATAATAATAGTTTTGATGATAGTCAATCTCAACCACTTGCACCACCGCAAACATCATCATCATCATCACATCATCATCATCATCAATCAGCAACAACAGTAACAACACAACCACAACAGCCACCATTATCACCGCATCAACAAACACAACAACAACAACAACAACAATCATCAACTAAGCATACATTTTTACATCCAAATGATGCTGCATGCCTTTCACAGCGGCCATCATGGTCAACATCGAATATAAGTCCATCGAATCCAAATTATTCTTCCGGTATTGGTGCTACTGGTAGTAGTAATCAACAACAAACAAATCAAACATCTAGTAGTAGTGGTAAACATTATCTTACACCAAATGTATTACAGACAACATCATTCGATACATAATCGATCGATCGATCAATCAAATCAAACCAATAAAAAAAATAGGAAAAAAAATTATTTGAATTTTTAGTATACTGGATCAAAACTAAAAAACCAACGGTCAAAGAAACTAATTAATCAAATTGGATTGTCCATTTTGTTTTTATTTTTCATCTCTATTATTATATTCGTATATTATGTAATATCTCAACAACAACAACAACAACAACAAAATTCCATTTTTTTCAAATTTTATCCATTCAGAAGACACACCCATACACACACATTTTTGGTGATAAAGGATTATATTTATATTTATCATTTTAAAATGATGAAATAATTGTTGCCTATAAATTATTATTCTATTCTATTATATTTATTGTTGTAATTATATTCGATCGATCGATTGATCGATCGATGATTTATCGATCAATATATCTATTGAAAATTGATATATATTACTAAATACAACATCCAAAAAAAACTTACTTATTACTATATAAACTTGAAAACGCCCAACAAATTCTTTTTTTCCATTGGTTGATGCCCATATAATGAATATATAAATGTTCCAACAACAACAAAAAAAAAAAACAAAAACAAAATCACACCCTCAATAACACACACACACACACACACAGACACCTGATGATGTGACTATGACGTGATAAATCACTTCTACTTTTTTTCCATCATCATCATCATCATCATCATTATCATCATCATTTTTTTCCATCATCATATAGTCCTTAAATTATTCATTTCCAAATTCACACACACAAATTCTTTTATTTTTCTTTTCTTGCCATCATACAAATCACAACACAATTAACACATGATTCCGTTGAAACATACACACACACACACACACACGGATGCAATTTGCACGAATTTTTTTCTTTTTGCCATTTTTTTTTCACTCGATAATATTATATATTATCAATGAACAAAACAAAACAAAAAAATAAAACAGAATACAAGCTAATATAAGCTGCTCTATAACCTATATAAATATATATAAATATTCTCTATCACACATCGATATATATGATGAATCAGAATATCCTTGGATGAAAACAAAAACCAGCTAAAATTCAAACGAACAATCTTTTTTTGGTTTTCCGAAAGAAAAAAAATCAATCAATCAATCAATCAATCAGTGGATAAATTTTCAACAATGATGATGTAATGATCAATGGCCTTTAGATTTCAAAAAGATTTCAATCATAATCATCATCATTTGTTTTATTTTCAGCAAAATATACCTCATAATCATTACCCACCACACACACACACACACACACACACACACACACACACACACACACACACACACACACACACACACACACACACACACACACACACACACACACACACACACATTTACAAGGCCATAATATTTTTCTTTTCATTTTTGTTGCTTTTCATCAATTTCAAACAAAAACAAAACTAAAAAAAAAATTCAATTCAATTCATTCTCAACTTGTTGTTGGTTTTTTTTCTTCTTCTTCTTGTTGTTGTTGTTAAATTCACAAATTCACAGGTTTTTTTTTGTATATCGCGCGAGCGCAAATTATCATTTTATTAATTGATTAATAAATGTATATCAAATTTTACTTATAAATTGATCAAGAATTGTTGAATATTCCAAAAATCAGAAAAATCAAAAAAAAAAAAAATTTGATTTCGTTCCGATTCCTGTGGACAGATGGCAACATGTTCGACAACAACAAAAAAAAAGATTCAAATCATTTTCAGATGTTTTTTTGTTGTTGTTGTTGATTGATTGACAATTGATCATCATCATTTTTTTAAATTTAAATAAATTGCGAACGTCCAATAACCAATGAATGACGTGATATGATGTGATGATGATGGCAGATAATAACATTTTTTGGTTCGATATGTTTTGATTGGTGAAAGTGAAACGAAACGAAACGAAAAATTATTGATTCGAATTTGATGATATATATGATATGATCTTTGCCAAGCCGTCACCACACACACACACACACACACACAGCAACTAATTATGTACGAAATGTGACAGATTAACTTTAAAAATGATTATACAATTACATCATTAATTCATGATAATAATATTTTGTGTTTGACCTTCATTCCATGTATTGAGAATCGAAAGATGAAAAGTGAAAAATTTTTAAAGATCATCAACATGGTAATGTTTTTCATGTTCACTGTGTGTATTCAATATTTAATCTTTTTTTTCTCTTCTACTTAGATTTAAAAATTTCGTAATTTTTTTTCTAGATAATGATAAAATCTAGTAGCATAATCATCATCATTATTATTCAGAAAAATATGGTCAATATATCAATGAATTTGATTGTGAATTTTTTTTAAAAAATCAGCGACAATATATTGATTTAAAAATTTAAAGTTTTTCAACAAGTTTTCTTCATCAATGAATGAACAACGGAATTTTATTCATTCATAAATATTTTATTATCATCCCGGATGTCTTGGGCCGTGGCCAGTTAAGAAAAAAATTTTTCTTCTTCAAATTATAACTGTAAATATAGACAAATATTTAAGATATGATAGGCATTATCATTAACAGGAAACGTAACCGACGACAACATCACTATACATATACAGTATATAGTTATTACCATCATTATGACGGAGACGACGACAATTTTTTCTTTTTTTTTTGTCACGACCATGTTGATGTTGATGATGATGATGATGACGACGACGACGGCCACCATCAATGGTAATATTATCATCATCAAAATATGTGAATGGATAATCTTATCGGACCTGATTTGTTTGTTGGTGGTGGTAATGGTAATGGTGATGGTGATGGTGATGGTGGTCAACAACGATGATGAAAAAAATGTCTTTGCCCGTCAAAATTGTCGCCTTACATAGATTTTGTGTGTGTGTGTGTGTGTGACAAGTGAAAAAATGAGTGAATGAGTGAGTGAGTGACCAAGAGAAGGTCACATCACGATCATCGAAAAAGATTATTGTCTTGGTGAAACAAAATCTACCAAGAAGAAGAAGAAGAAAAAAAATCAAATTTCTCACTCTACACATACAGAATGAAGATGTAGACTGTAAGAGATGAAAAAAACAAATTTTTTTAAATCGATAAAATAAAATCGGCAAAAAAAAAAAGTCTAGATATTTTTCTTCTACCTGGCCAAAGATTTTTTTCCATCTTTCCATCAAGTAAGTGAATGATAAAGAAAGAGAGAGAGATATTTATAGAAAAACAATTAAATTGTCAATTTCAATCACATACACACACACACACAAACACATACTAATAACCTCAAAAAACGAAAGGTTCAAGACATTGCCATTTGCACAAACACACACACACGGATGCATGAACATTCGTAAAGCGATCATCATCATCATTGAATGGAAAACAAAAATGGTCATTCATTTGCAGCAATTATGACGGATCAAACGAAACAAACGAAATTTTTTTTAAGTTTTAAAAAAATAAATTTATTACCACGACCTTGTTTATGTTTTTGTTGTTGTTGTTGTTGTTGTTGTTGCACCAATATTTTCTTATTTAAACGAAATTTTTTTTGTTGCTATTCCAAAGTTTTAAAGTTCCAGAATTAAAAAAAAACAAGAGACAAGACTAAATGGATAAACAAACAAACAAAAAAAACTTGAGGAAAAAAATTTTTTTTTTTTCATCTGAAATTGAAATCCAACCAAATGGTGGTGGATGTACACGCACACACACATAAGGTTCGTGGCCGCGGCCATGGTCACCAATTTCACGATGGGAGACATATAAATGGATGTGGGTAATAAAAGGCAACAACAACAACAACAACAAAAAAAATGGCAAAATGGTGAACATCAGTTTTTTTTTTTTCGGAAAAAAAGTCGGCCAAAGAATTAAGACAGAGAAACAGAGAGAAAAGGTAAACCAAATTTAGTTTTTCTTCTTTATTTTGGTTATGGGGTTTTATTTTCGTGGATTGTTTGGCCACAATTTTAAATTTTTTTTTACGTCTGATGATGACGATTATGTTTTAAATGTGATGATGATCATGATGATCGTTTTCTATTTCATCCTGATCAATTTATTTGAATGTAAAATTTTACTTTGCGCAACATGACAAATAAATTGAAATTGAAATAAACGATATCTCATTATCAGATTTGATTGTTTTTTTCTCTCTCTCTCTTTTGGATGATTAATTACATAAATATGACCACAACAACAGAATATTTCATTTTCATTTTCCAAAATTTCATTTTGACTATAATTATACGTGTAGCGAAGAAAGAATTTTTTTTTTGTTGAATAATTTCATGGCCTATAATGCATTTGATGATGTTTGCATCGTATTTTTTTCTAGATTTAATTTCAATTATGATAATGGTAATACTTTTCATATATATGATTCTATGATATGGGCCGGTTTTTTTTTCACCATACCATTCACACATCTTCACACACACACGCACACCATAGCCGCATCAGTTTTTGTAATAATGATAATATAATAAAGAAGTGGTGGGATGGATGTATTTTCTTTTTTTTTACCATTTTGGTTTTGTTTCTATTATATAAAATATCTACATTCAACAAACACAAAATGAAAATGCCAGCCCAGAATTTAAATGGTGAAGAAAGAGATTCATACACATTCACAGTGTGTGTGTGTGTGTGTGTGTGTGTGTGTGTTATAAAACAACAACAACATACATGTGATTAAACATTGGCTGGACATTATGCATCAGTGCATAGTGCAAAAAAAAATCACATCAGATAAAATCATTGAATGATGTAATCAATGAATAAATGATAAATTGAATTGAAATTCAATTTTTTTTCAATATTCCACCATCAGAATCATTTTTATTAGATTCTGTCGTTGAAAAAAAACATATGTACAGAATTTTTTTTTTCATAAAAATCATTCAAAAAAACAAAACAAAAACAAAAATTTCAATAGTGCCTCATCAATCTGTTTGTGACGATCAACCATAATAACAATCCATCGGCGTTTGTTATGGTTGAATCATCCTTAGAAACAAGAAAAACAGAAACAGAAACAGGAACAAAAATTAGAAAACAAAACAAACAACAAACATTTCAAAAATTAATTGTTTTCTGTGATGTATGATGAATGTGCATAATCGAAAAAAAAACAAACCAAAATCCTGTTTGCGAACAATGGCACAGGACATTGTTTGATATGAAATTACGGAATTAATGATAATAACATGAATGATGATGATGATGATGATAGAGGAAAAAAAATATCAAAAA